TCACTTAGCACCAGCATGCCGAAGCGAGTAGACCTCAACCCCAGCGCTAAGTCCCCTTTTTAGAAGCCCATAGTGTTTTGATGCTAAGGCTAAATAAATCCGTAGAGTTTATTGAGTAGAATTTTATAACGCCTCTGATGTTCTGACGTCTTTGGCTAAAAACCCATTGAGTAGATTTTTATAACGTCTCTGATGTTCTGACGTCTTTGGCTAGAACGTATTAAGTAGATTTTTATAACGCCTCTGATGTTCTGACGTCTTTGGCTAAAACATATTGAGTATAATTTTATAACGCCTCCGATGTTCTGACGTCTTTGGCTAAAACGCATTGAGTAGATTTTTATAACGCCTCTGATGTTCTGACATCATTGGCCAGAAGTAGAGTCAAGCTTAGAATAAATTATTTTGGAAACTTTTTTAATAAATAAATATTGAAAAAAAAGAAATCAAACGGCTTTTAACTTTCCTCACATTGGTTTACCAGCTTCGAACTGATCAATAAACAAATTTATTGCGACGATCCGGACCGCAACTGAGTGATACCTCAGCAAAAATTAAACGACGAATCCGTGTCGTTACAATTGGCGCCCGAGCAGGGACACGAGTTCGAGAAATAAATCCAAAGGAAAGAAAACCAAGAGTAGTGATGTCGGTAGATTTAAAGGTGACCAGTGACCAAGAGTCTCGAAGACCTCCTACTTCCAGCAAGTCATGGTTATACAACCTACGAAAGGAGGAGCTCAAGAGCCTGTACAAGAGGCTCTGTACAAGAGCCTATCAACGAGGTGCAGATCGTAATCCCGCCTATTACGCAAACCATGGAGCAAGTTAAGAAGTGGGCCATCAAGTATGATGGTGGCAAGGATCCACTTATGTTTATAGAAAGGATCGAAGAGTTGGCCGACGTATATGGTATTAACGTAAATCTAATGCCACGGACCATGCCAGAGTTATTAAGAGACAAGGCGCTGATTTGGTATCATAACAACAACAGGCAATGGAAACTGTGGACTACATTTAAGGGCGATTTTCTGCAATTCTTTTTACCAGTGCGATACTTCGAAAAATTAGAGGATGAGATTCGTGCCCGCAAGCAAAAACAACGTGAGGGGTTGAAGGATTTTGTCATCGTCATGCAGGACCTAATGCGTCATGCCGGCCTCGACATGTGTCAACAACTGGACCGAATTTATCGGAACTCTGGTACGGATTACCAGATGTACATTAAGCGTCGCGACTTCGGAAGCCTGGATGAACTAGTTGCGCTAACCGAAGACTTCGAAATACTTCGTCTGGAACAAGAGAAATCCAACCATCACAAAGTTCACGAAGAACGTAACCACATTGTAAAGATCCAGACCGACAAAATAGTTAATCCCAACTTGGCCTGTCGTCGCTGTGGGCACTATGGGCATCTTGCCAATAGATGCGGAGGTCAACGAATGCTATTCTGCTGGGTATGTGGATTAAAGAACGTACGTACAGTGGACTGTTGCCGGAAGTATTCGGGAAACGGCAACCAGGAGCACTGCACCGCGGGGATAGTGACTCCTACAGACAAAAGCCCTGCACACATGCTCAACAACCACTCTGCCTCAAGGATGCCCAAGTAATACCCACCGTCCACTTAGATATAGATATGCTACTACAATAATTTAATAGTTAATTGATGCATGAAATTTAAATAATTTTTCTACTACCTCTTCTCAACCATATGTTGACTGCGAGTGTAACGCTGATATCATATACAGTTTTTTTTTTCTTTCCTTCTTCTTTTCTTAGCGAATTGTGTAAAGAATATTTTAAATTTACAAATCCGTAATTTCATAGTTCAGAAGATCTCCTAGTTAGGCAAGCTGTATGGAGAATGGGGTGAAACAGTTAAAACAGGAGCTAACCACAGTGAATAGTTTTATAGAAAAGATATTGGTGAGAGAGTGGGAGCAATTACGGGGGATAAATAAGAATAAAGAGTTTTTACAATTTACCAGGGAACCAAGGAGAGGCTGTTCCAAGTGGGGGATATGGTCTGGTTAAGAAACCAACAAAGGAAGAATAAATTCTCCTCTGTTTGGGAGGGACCATACCGAGTGATACGGGTTCGTGACCCAGTTAACGTACAGTTGTTAGTCAAGGGGAAAACAAATGGTTCCATAAGAATCTGGTAAAGGGTGTTCGAGGTACCGTTGCAGACCGTATATAGTAGGGTAATTAATATCTCTTCAGGCCGAAGTTTTCCTAGAAAAGGGGAGGGATGTTGTAAATTTGAGAAAACTTGAATTAAATTCATATTGATGTATTAATATATTATTAATACATTAATATTAATATATTGTATATTAATGCTATATTGCAAATCGCCCCTGGGGCTGGAAGTAACGGCTGTATGGCGTGATATTTACACGCCCTTTGTTTTGTTGCTAGTTGTTTACACCAAATTTGGGATAACATGTTTTGAATTTGGTGTAAAGGCATGCGGTTTTTTATTGAGAGAGTAGGGAGTAGAATTTATTTGGTGTTCAACGCGAGTAGATGCATTGAGTGTGAACTGGTTGGATAATAAAAAATTTTGGAAAAGTGAACGGTGAATAAAAATGTTTGAACAAGATTAAATTCTTAACAATAAAAAGATTGATTGCAATTTCGCGAATAAAGCACACATGCATTAACTTAAATATAAAACAATTTATGTACTGATTAATTAATTAAATTTTGATCAAATTATATATATATATATATATATAACATTATCTTATTTCCTATAAAAATTTATAAATCTTTAAATGACAATAATTGTAATGTAACAAAGAGAAAAGAACGACAAATAAAATATAAGTTTCACAACAATTGAAAAAAGGGATTTCTTGTTCATTTTCGGAAGACAACTATTGTGTAGCCGGTAGGAGACCGGATATAAAACATAACAATCATACGCTGGAAGCCACCATAGATACTGGTGCCGCACGAAGTTTCATCAGCCGGACACTTGCAGAAAATTTACGACTAAGAACTAGGGAATTTAGGACAGCTACTAGAGTTCGAATGGCCGACAATACAACGCGTGATCTTACTTGGGGTGGAAAGGTAACTTTAAGACTAGGAGATGACACCATTCAAATACAGCTACTGGTGTTAGATGGAAGCATGGATGATATAATTTTAGGGATGGACTTTTGCCAAGCAATTGGAACTACGATAACTATTGGAGGAGAGAGTGTTACCATAAGCGAACCAAAGGTACGAACACCTCAATCACAATCAACCACCCTCCGATTAACCAAAGGGGAAGAGACTGAGATAATCAACAAATTCTTAGCAGATGAATTGGAGGATTTTAGTAAAATGTCCGGCGTGTCAAACATCACTACCCATAAGATCGTGATGAAGGACGATCGCCCCATTAAATAAAGGTACTATCCCAAAAACCCGGCCATGCAGCAGATCATCAACAGCAAGGTTGACGAATTATTAAACAAAGGATGCATAGAACCCTCACGAAGTCCCTACAGTTCTCCGGTAGTACTAGTCAAAAAGAAAAATGGCGAATGGCGGTTTTACATTGACTATCGTCAACTAAATAAAAACTCGGTAGCGGATGCCTATCCCCTGCTGCGCATCCACCATATCCGGCTACGAAATGCTAAATACATAAGCAGCATCGATCTGAAAGACGGATACTGGCAGATCCCAATGGATCCCAACAGCAAACAATACACTGCCTTGACTGTACCGGGACGGGGACTATTCCAATGGCGCGTGTTGCCATTTGGTTTACACTCAGCCCTAGCCACATTCCAACGGGTTCTGGACCAGGTTATTGGAGCTGACCTGGAACCACATGCGTTTGCCTATCTAGACGACATCATTATTACGGGTTCATCATTGCAACATCACTGGCAAAATCTAAAAAGAGTATTCCACAGACTGAAAGCCGCCAACTTGAAGATCAACATAGACCAGTGTGAATTCTTTCAAACGGAAACGAGGTACCCAGGCCACGTAGTAAGCTCACAAGGAATCCACACGGACCCGGACAAAGTAGCCGCGATTCGAAACTTGCAACCTCCAAACAACCTCAAACAGCTTCGACAGTTCATGGGCATCGCGTCGTGGTATCGACGATTTGTACCAGACTTTGCCCAAGTGGTACACCCTTTAACAAGCATGCTAAAAAAGGGCAAACATTGGAAGTGGAAGGAATCACAACAAGAAGCATTCACCAGAATCAAAACCCTCCTTACCGAAGCCCCCATTCTAACCTGCCCAGACTTCAACGTAAGATTTTGCCTGCAAACCGATGCCAGCAACATAGGTATTGGGGCAGTATTAACACAGGAAATAGAGGGCCAAGAGCGAGTAATAGCTTACACCAGTAGACACCTGTCCACTACGAAAACGCGTATAATACAGGAGAATCATGACGACGTACACGACCACGAGAATACAAAATCAATACTACTGGCCGCGAATGTCACGAGATATTGCTAGACATGTCAAAGCTTGCGAGTCATGTCAAAAATACAAGCCGAATCTGAATA